CTTGTGTTGCTTCAGGTGTTGTTGCTGCTGCTGTTGCTGCGGAGCCTGACGAAGTCATCACCCGTCTGCGTTTGTTGAGGTTGTTGCCGTTGCCGTGTCTGTCTCCTGCTGCAGCAGCAGCAGCTGCTGCAGCTGCTGCTGCAACAGCAGCAGCAGGAACACTGCGTATGGCCCTAACACTTTTGCGTATGTGAAGCGGCGGGGGCCCCCGTTGGCGTGTTTTAATATAAGAAGGAATGAAGGGGGCCCTCTTGGGTATTTTAATGTGTCTGTATTCTTGAGCTGTGCGTAGTTTGTGCTGCAGCAGCTGCAGCTGCGCTGGCAGCAGCTGCTGCAGCAGAGCATTGGCTAGCAGCAGCACGAGAGGGGGGAGACGCAGCAGCAAACCCAAACGGGCTATGAGAGCAGAGGCATTGATAGAGGGGCCCCCTGATATACCGAGGGCCCCCAGATCCTGCAGCAGCGTCTGCAGCCTGAATGCATGCGGCAGAGACTGCGGCTGCAGCGCAGCAGCAGCAGCAGCAGAATTCGACTTGCAAGACAGCTGCAGCAGCGCCCCAGTAAAGACACGGCACTGATGCCACAAAGCCGGAGGAGACAGCCGCAGCAGCGACAGAGACCCAATGCGGTTCTGAAACAAAAAGGAGACAGACACAGCAGCAGCAGCAGCAGCAGCAGCAGCAGCATTGCATGCAGCAGCAGCAGCAGCGGTAGCAGCATCATTGCATGCAGTAGCAGCAGCAGCAGCAGCAGTAGCAGCAGCAGCAGCAGCAGCAGTAGCAGCAGCAGCAGCAGCAGCAATGCATTAAGCAATCGTTCTGAGGTGTCTGTACACCCCACATGTATGCGCATACAGACAGAGATGCAGGAGAAATGCATGCATTTATAAAATATATTTTGTTATTAAAAAACAACAAAATAAATATATATATATATATATATATATATATATATATATATATATATATATATATATATATATATATACATACCAACGAATTTAATAAATATATATTTATATAGGTCCGTCTATACACATAAAGAACAGAACGCGAGACAGAAACAAAAACAAAAACGGAGGCAGCAGCAGAGACACAAAGGAGACAAAGACAAGAGACAAAGACAAAAGAAGATATACAGGAGAGACAAAAACAAAGAGACAGAAGAAGAGAGAGAAGAGACATAAAAAAGGAGACAGAGACAAAGCACCGCACCTGCAGCAGCAGCCTGAGGACATCAGCAGCAGTAAGGGGGACGCGGCAGCGCCTGAGGGCTATCAGCAGCAGCGCCAGCAGCAGATCCATATCTAGGGGGGGCAGCGAGGGGGGCAGGTGAGGAGACAGCAGGCGGCTGCCTGTGAGTGCGTTAGCTGTACATACACCCGAGAATACTGCAGCAGGCCCCACAGCCTCAGGATGAACAGAAGACACCTCCAGCCCATCTGCTGCAGCGCAGCGGAGAGAGAAACGCCCGCTGCTGCGACGCAGAGACAGCAACGCTCCCTCTGCTGCTGCTCCTGCTGCTGCTGCTGCTGCTGCTGCTGAGGGTTTGGCTCCGGGTGCTGCTGCTGCTGCATCTGCTCCCAGCTGAGATCCTGTTGAGGAGAGCTGACTCTCTCCTGCTGCAGTTGATGCTGTTGCTGCTGCTGTTGCTGCTGGGTGGGTTCTGTCTGCTGTGGGGTCCTCTGCTGCAGCATCCTCTGCAGTCTGTGTTGCTGGAGCTGCTGCAGCGGGGGATAGCAGTGCTGCTGGTGTTCCTGCTGCAGCAGCAGCAGCAGCAGCATGGGGTTTGGGGCTGGTGATGCATGCACGGTGCATGCATAAAGCTTTTATAATGCAGCGACGCCAAACAACACGAACAGCAGTGAGGCGGATCATCAGCTCCAGTGCTGTAGCGTTGAGGTCTAGAGAGG